ATCATTGGCAGAATCACTGATTAATGCCTACAGTTGAAAATAATCATTTTGACTGACCGGAGTCTATGGTGGGTATCAACTATGTGAATAGGCGGTTCAGAGAACCCTCTGCCTAATACACCATACAATCTTGTGAATATAGGCGTCACTTTAATTAAGGTGTCAAGTGTGAAAAGCTTTACTAAAGCATCACGAAATGTTGAAAAATTACATTCAATCAAAAAAATGTTCAAAAAATACTCAGTATATTCAATGTAATATGCATTTATTTAACAGAATGTATATTCTAACAGAAGTTTCAAATATAAACAAACACGAATGCATTGCTTTGTAGATCACGGTACGGTAGCTCAATTCTGCCATGCTGCGGTTCACAAGTGAATAACTTACTTGTTTTCGAAGTGTTGAAATTGTTATCCAGTAGTGATTATAATAACGCATGAAAAATAAATTTGTCTGTATTTTGTGTCTAATCTGATTGCTCTATGTTTGACCCCATGTGTGAAGCACACAATGAGAGTCTTTGCAGTTAGTGTGTCTGTATATGTGTGTGTGTGTGTGTATGTCTGTCTGTCTGTCTGTTCCACTGATATCTCAAGAACCATACATCATACCATACATACATGCTCTGGACCAATGTGCAAGTTTGCTTAGGTTTTGGTAGAAATCCATGCATATTAGTTACCTAATTTGCATGTTTAATTAGCTAATTTTTAGCTGTTCCATGACTATTCTACTGATATCTAAAAGACCACTCATTGGATTTTGTTGAAACTTGGTACATAGATGCTCTGAACTAATGCTAGGTTTTTGATCAGTTTTGGGTAAAATCCGTGCATATTTAATCACCTAATTTGCATAATGATTAGTCAATTTTCGTTATTCAACTGATATCTCAAGTACTAGTCATTACATTTAAATGAAACTTGATACATAGATTTCATAGGACACTGCACAGACCTTATATTTTCAAGGGTAATATCAGTACATATTTATTACCTAATTTGCATAATTAATTCATTTCCAGCTTTTGATATTTCAAGTAGTAATTACATTTCAATGAAACTTGTTACATAGACCCTTTAGAACTATGCACTATTAGTTTTAGGGTTAATAATTGTCCATATTAATCACCTAATTTGCATAATCAATCAATTTACTAATCATCATATTTCAAAAAATTTAGAACTATGCAGAGACCC